AAAGTACAAAAGCAGAGCTTGCATTTATTTTACTCAGTTTTTGACAATTAAAGTCTGCAATTACTGCAAATATTAATGTTTGTGTACATTGCCTAATTGGTAATCTTTGTGTTCTTTATGTAATAATAGGAGAGCATTTCCGGGATTGTGTGGAAGGAGCTTGAAAAGGTCACCAACAAATGATGTGAAAGGGAAAGCACCAGCTAAAAGAATAGATATGTCACTTTGTTTCAGCCTAAGGAGACATGGACTCATAACTTTTGTTTACTTGGGTGTGTATCAGATGATATTTCCCCATCAAAAGATGAGATCGTCCATCTTCAAAATGCAGGATTAGGAAAACAGAAAATTGTTTTCCCTAATAAAAATGCAGATCATGATGGTTTGATGAACATTCTTGAAAAGGAATATCCTAAAATAAAGGAAGGAGGTGGTATAGAGCTTCTTCGAGCAGTTGGTGGAGGAGGAGGTCAAAGAAAGCTTGAAGTTTTGAAATCTGGACCATGTGGATATACCATATCATATCTGCGAAACATTATATGTATTGGACAGGCAACAATATATTTACGACCGCTGCAGAAGGATCTGGATCTAACCGCACTGGCCACTACAGTAAGTGTTTGTCGACATCTTTTTTACTCAGTGTGATCTGGTTCGTAGAAATTAAGATTTGATTGACTGCAATGTTGAATAATATGCAAGTGTTGTAGGTTGTTTTATAATAGAGCTTTTGTAAATTCTGAAAGATGAGTAGCTATAGCATTGCTGACATAACTCAATGTCAACACAGAAAATTTCCAGCAAAAATTCCCTGCATATTCTTTGTGCTACATGATAAAAAATATATAGCAATTTTCTATATTGATATACAGTTTACTCAGTTTCCGCTTGTGTTGATGAATATCAACATGAAAAATGTTTTATATTTCTTATATGTAGATGTTGTCATTGCTATTTGAACCCTTTGAGTAGCAACACTCTTCCCTTGATGAGTAAAATCATCTGGCTTTTAGACAGAGTAAAATAATAAAATAGGGCACATGCCACTTGAAGGGTTAGTTACTGGTAACATTGTTTATCGTTTACCTCAATTATTTTGATTCCTTTTTATTTATATAATTATAGATTTCTGAAAAAGATACAAGTAACAGTCCAAAAGTAACTTGCCGTGCATGTGGAAAAAAATGTAACTATGGTCATCTGAAATACCATCGGGAGAATGAATGTAAACAGTGTACTTTTATTGTGAAGGTACCACATGTATTAATGATAATTATAGTATCCACATTGATGTTTACTGATCAAGCACATATATAAGAGCAGTGTGCTCTAATTTTTGAAACTAAATGAATACTCATATGATTACAGTAATCCCTAATATATTTTTGCTACTATTGTTTTTGTGGTGAAACTTTTAACAGTAGTTGGCAATGTGTGCATAGGTGTGGTACGTCATACTACACCCTTTATACAATAGCAACACACTGAATTGTTCTCTCTGAAGCGGTAGCATGTCGACATTTAAATGGCTAAGTAGTGTACAGATACTGTTGAATATGATTGGTTTACAGTTTGATGTGATAACAGAGGGCAGCGAAATATAACAGCGAGAGGAAAACCCCACAGCAAATCTCTTTATTGTGTTTTACAGATATGGTTTCCAGATTATCCCCACAAAAATAGAAATGCACTGTTTTGTTATTTGATCTGTTGAGATGGGAAATAGGATATTTTAGCTGTCCTTAAGCTAAATCAGAAGATCTGCTAATCTTGTCATGCAAAGGAGTCAAAGGGACTTGTACCCAGCACTGCTCCAGCTGCCTTGTCCCCAGGCGCTTTAATACGAAATACTTTAGACTTACATGAAGTATCCTTCCCAAAAGCCCCTTTGCGCATTGCCTGCTTGAATACTTCATATGAATCTAATTGTAATTTAGGAGAAGCATTCAGTTTTCCCAGTACTACACGCGTAAAAATTGATCAGGTTGTTTGGGTATGATGAAAACAGGACTGAAAAATGTTGTGCTGCACCCCACAAACATGCTTGTCAACAAGTGCAACAACCTGTTGAGCTTTAACAAGTTGTTGCAACTGGTTAACAACCATGTTGGTAGGTTGCAGCACAACATTGCTCAGTTCTTTTTTCATCAACCAGGAACAACGTGTGCATTTTTACATGTGTACAGTATACAATCATATCAATGCCAGCCAATTCTCACTTAAGGTTTAAATTAATATTTGATAGGATGCAGAAGATAGTTCTAGTAGTGGTGATGAAGTAGTTGAAGTTTCTAAAGAATCAACAGCTGCTGATAATGAAACCAATACCTGTAAATCTAATGGTCAATCAGATTATGAAACAGAAGTATGTATACATTGTACATGATATTTGTTCAAAAATGAAACATCTAGAATTAGTTGATCAATCAGTACTTTTTTACAAAATATTAATATTATCATGGGCTCCAGGCCTTTGGGGCTAACTTTAGGTTAACATTTAACCCACTGTTTTGGTTTATGTATTTTCGTTTAACTGGGTTTTTTTTTGAGAGGTAAACTACTGTATTTGATCCAGAAATTTATACTATTTCAGTGCTTATGGAAATGCATACTGACAAAGATAAAGAGGACATTATCCAAGAGTTTAGAGCAGACAAAATCATTCAAGGAACACAAATGATTGATATAGATCGAATGTTCAAATCTATGCTAAACCAACTAATGCGTATTTACAAAAACCCAGAATTATCCATTAGGAAAGTACCTGACATTAGTTTTACTGGTGAAACTGCAGCTGACGTTGGGGGACCAACTCGAGAGTTTTTCTATGTAGCAATAGACAGCCTTGTCAAAGTTGATGAAAGATCTGGCAATCAGCTATTTTTTGGAGTACTTGGGCACATGTTACCGCTCTGCAGTTTGGACGCCCTTTCTGGTGGGTGCTTTCTTATGGTTGGCAAATTATTAGCCCATAGCATATTACATGGAGGTTCAGGCCTGGTTGGTTTAGCGCCACCAGTTGTCAAATACATTGCTACAGGTTCAGTTGATATTGCCCAGGCAATTGTGACAATGGATGATCTTGGAGACATCGAGCTAAAAACATTACTTAAACAAGTAAGTTATTATGATGTACACTTAATAATATGCATGTGTAAAAAACCTAGTCATAGCAACTGGTTATATGCTATTTTAGAGCTTAACCCTTTAGGTGGCAATGTGCCAGGATGCACCTTACTATTATTTTTCTCTGTTAAATGCCATATACTGTATACGATTTTACTCGTCAGGGGAGAGTGCCAAATTCAGAGACCATGTTATGTACTCGGGGTCTAAAAGTGCTCAACCAATCACAGTCCACCATTTTCATTTTTGCCATAAGTGATGCTTGCAATACAATTAATTCTTATTAGCTTAGTAGAATTATTTTTGTAATATTGTCACCTGGTTTTCTTTTGTATACATACCCATGGTTCCAAAATGTTTATACTACTGTACAACCATTCACTTTAATTATTTTTTATAGGTGCTTGATTACAGCTGTCACAGTCTTGATGAAACTGATCGAGACAAAATTGAAAGTCTAATGGTGAGACATGGTTTGAATGACCTTCCCCTGACAGATCAAAACAAAGAAAAGGCAGTTCAAGACATTGTTGTTGCAGAAGTACTGACAACAAGAACAGCCGCACTTGATGCTATATTTAAAGGAATGAACACATGTGACCTTGGGACATTGATCAGGGCCAATCCATCTATTGCATCTATTGTGTTCCCTAGTCTAGAAGATGTAAAAGTTGATGTAAAGTTAATGAAGGCCAGGTTTAAAGGAATTGACTCATTTGATTTTGATACTAACGAAAAAAGAAATGCGGTGCAGTGGTTTCTTGATTTTTTAGAAGAAGCTGACAAAGAGTCAGGTATGGGGCCATGGGCAAAATGTGTGACACTGTTTAGCTGATTTTTGACATTCCCAATCCCCATTTTAAAACTTCAGAAAAAAAATTTCACTGATCCACATAAGATTTCTAAAGAAATATTTCCAAGTTCATAAACAAGCTGTTGGGAAATTTGCTTTGAATTTTAGGTTAATCTGGGATTAAACGAACTAGCTTTTGAACAACCGGCCCCAGGAGGAAACCTTGCCCTTGGTACAATGTTGATAAGTTTAAAAGGAGTGGTCATAGTGGTCATTATCCATCCAAAGCTTTTAATTTTATTGTTTTAACACCCGCTACCACCTTAAGCATCATATATTTCCTGCAGTCGGACTGTTTATTATTTTTCTATTAATGACTGTTATTCTGTAAGCACAATTATAATTAGGCGGCAAGAGAGCTAACAGGATTCAGTCGTTAGCTGTCGCTGGTATGACAAGTGATAGATGTTGTAAAATAGTCTAATATACCGGTAATAAGAGTCTTTGTGTTTGTTATATGCAAATCAGGCCTAATGATTGCAGAGTTTTGTAAAGTTTTGTCGACACTCTATTACATCACCCACTTGTCATACCAGCGACAGCTAACAACTGAATGGAAACTAGCCTTAAGACTCACCCTTAAGACCCATACAAAATTGCCACCTAAGATCGTCCAGACGAATTATCCGTCTCTAGTATAAACAAAGCAAATGTTAGTACACTATTTTGAACTTTCATTCTTTGCAGACCCAGTTTCAGGAAAAAAATTGACATCTATATTGCTCATGTTCATAACTGGTTCACAAATCTTTGTGGATGAATTCAAAATTGAATTCAACGATGATCCCACGAATCTCTTCTGGAAGCAGCCCCAAATTTGCAGCCCCTCCCCCCAACTTCTCCGTTTTGAAATATATAATTGGCCTGAGGAAATGTAAGGTAGTCTGGACCCCTCCATCCTTCCTCCCCCTTTGCCACGACTCTGATAACACAAACACAATCGTTTACATACATCAGAAGAAAATTGCGCTAGAAATTCTCGAAAAATTGCAAATGTAGACAGGCTTTAATATTAATTATGTTATGTTAAATGTTCCATATGTTCCATGACAAAAGCAACAGTATTCAGGTATATGTCAACTTCATTGTTAACACTGAGTTGTTTTGGATCAATGGATCCTTGTAACTCTATTTGTGCCTCACCACTCAATGGACACTCGGTAGTTGGTACAACAATTCCATCAGAACTAGGAAAACTCAGTCCCATGCTATCAAAATAAATTCCATAGCTTTCTTGTTCTCTCTGTAGGCATTTATAAGATTGTCAAGAAGTTACATTAAATTTTTAAAGATGTACTCTACATATATTGTAGTGTCTGAAAAGTTTCATTATTGTACACCATCTTGTTATAGATTTTGCCATGAATAACAACAAGTATATATGTTAACCCATTTAGTGATAGCACTCTCCCCCTAACGTGTAAAATCGTCTGGCATTACTGTAGACATAGTAAAATATTAAAGTAGGGTGCATCTGGGCCCATTGCCACTTAAAGGGTTAAACCGGATAATACAAGCACAAATGCTGGTGCAGCATGAATTAATAGTCAATTTTTTGTTTTATCCACATTCAAAATAACTCGTTCAGCATTAAGTGCTTGTATTATTAGGGAATGCTGTTATAAAATGCTAGTGCAAACCAGATTTGCACAATGTATGTACCCACCTCATTTAGGTTTTCCCAGACTTCTTTTGCAATTGTTCCATGATGGTTAGCAATTCTAAATAAACCTTGGATCCAATGTTGGTTTGGAGTTAAATTTCCTGTTCCTTCAATAGGATGATTGTCCCATCCCTGAGTGAATTTTTCTAAGCAACTGTTAACTCTTGGACCAAAGACATAATGCAAGCAAAACATATGAATTTCGTCGTTAATATCAAGGTATCCTTCACTTTCAAGAAAATTGAACAAGCAGTAAAATGTGTATACACAACAAACATAAACATCAACCCAAAGTCGTTCTATACGCTGATTGTGTACACTTTTTCCGTTGATAAAAGAACCTCTATCTGGATCCCTTTCAGGATGGTTAAACATGAATCGAGCAACATCAATGTTTTCGACACCTTGGTCACCTCTGACTCTTGATGGCAGTCCATGAATGCTTACAGCTTCAACAAAGGCTTCAAGTACTGTTTGGGCATTGTTGTTTGTATTGGATTGTAGGTACATGATCTTCCTGGAGTAGCCATCAATACAACCATGTATCACAAATCTCCATCTATTGGAACAAATAATATGCTACAATGTATTTCACTATTTTTGCTACACCACATCATTTCCCTGTTGAACGTTATAGACCTTGGTACACTATAGTAACTTAAATAGTGGTTGTTTTCAGCAGCATGGCATTTTTGAACCGGTACAGTAGATAAAGCATGTGGAACTGGGTGGATGTGTACTGCGCACAACACCTGAGCACCACCATAATGCAACATGCTAGAAAAATGTACTGAACAGACACCTCTTGGTACAACTTAGGCAGCTGCTTTGCTTCAGGGTTGCTCTGCAGATTTTAAAAACATACCTGATTAATTTGTGATGACCATCTAAGTGCCAAAGAGCAAGTGGGCATGTCACATTGTATACTCTTCTAGAAATTGGTGTGAGTTGTAGAGAACGTAACAATACACCTTCCGGGTCTGATCTTATCATCGCTTCTCTTACACGTATTTGTTGTACATGTATACCCCGTGCTCGCAGGAAACCAGTCATTCTTCTGTAGCCACAGTTCGGAAATTCAGACACTAACTGCTGTATAATTTTATCTAATTCAGGATTGCTTATCGTAGAATAGGTTCGTGTGACTGATAGACCATAGTCTTTTAGTCTTCTGCTGACAGTACTGAGGCTCACTCCAAGCATTTCACTTATTTGTGGAAGGGAAAAATTGTACTCCAAAAAAAGCTTGATTTGCTCTTTAGGAATATCAAAACTTGGCCTTCCTCTGCACCCGGAAAAAACTTTTTTGGGACTATACCCCATGAAGATGTCGTTATCAAGCTGCACCATGATGCCTTTACTTCTTGAAGTTGACCAATCAGACAATCAATTACACCCTCATCGTCTGGTGTTGTTAAAGAAAACCTGTCCAAAACACCTAAAAACCAATCAAGGCGAAATGTTGTGTTATCAAATTGGTTGTAGCTAACATTATAGCTTTCCAAATGCGACAGTACGTCTACTAAAAACCTCTTTCCGTACAACTTCAACGCTTCCATTTTTAATTTATAGCAATCATCAGTAGAAACTGTTTAAACGTCAAGTTATATTGAATATAGTGGTTCATTTTAAGTGCGAGACTGCTGACACATGCGGCATGGCTCATAGCCCAATGACATGAAGCTATAAAACAGCATGTATGTACTTCATGTCATCGGGCTAAAACAGCGTAATGACATACAGTGGTCCGAAGATGCAACACTTTCGCCCAGCGATACAAAGACAGAACCTATTGACGTGATTACATAGCAATATGAAGTGAGCATATTGCCCGATGATAACGAAGGATTATGTAAATGTATTTTTGACATGATCCACCCTTCATAGATGATGATCTTCCTAAAACTTGTGACAGCGAGTATGCTCCATCAGTGCATAGTTCTAAACGGACATTGACGTCACTTCTAACCATAGAAGAAAAACACTTATTTACTAAAACCTTTTCAAAGCTCCTTCACTCATCCAAACCCGTTGTTATGAAAAAAGTGATAGAAACCTTGCAGAAGACACCTCGGCTTTCCCATTTGTTGGAAACATTTACTCACCGCCAATTAGCTGATAGAGTGCGCTCAGAGCGAAAAGCCATTGTTTGTACCAAGCAGAAAAAGAAATTGAAAAGTAAGGCTAAAAAATAGTTAATTAAATATTTAAACCTTAAAAGTCAGCCAGGCTCAGCAATCTCATTTATATATAACAGAACTTTTCAACAAAGTATGACAGATATGCAAGTTTATAGTAGATTGTTTCAGCAACTATTTAAAGTATATAAGAAAGTTCAACTAAGGTTTTACTCAAACTACCTTATTATTATACTTTAATGCTTTGGGACTCAAATTTACGATCTTGACTTTCAAAGTTTGTTTTGGACTTCGAACATTCGAAACGCGTAATTGCGAACTTTGCACCGAACTTCGCAAACACGTTTTGAGCAGTTTGTGAAATCTACAATAAGCTTCTAGGTATTGTTCTGAGCAGATAGCAGCATAGCCTTGGCTAAAATATACAAGTGCTTTGGTTCACACTCATTACACTTACTACAGTTCCACAGCGAATCCCTAAACAACCATTTCTTGCAAGGTCCAGACTTGACAAACAACTTGACAGGCGTCCTATGCAGATTTCGTAGTGAACCAGTCGCTGTTATGTGCGACATCGAGGCAATGTTTTATCAAGTCAAGGTACCGAAGGCATGTCGAGATTTCCTTCGCTTTTTGTGGTGGGAAAACAGAGACACATTGAAAGAACCCGAGGAATACCGAATGACAGTTCATCTTTTCGAAGCAGCTTCGTCTCCAGGCTGTTCAAACTTCGCCCTTAATTCAGCAGCTGATGATAACGAAGAGACTGTCGGCGAAGAGGCGGCCAAATTTCTTCGACGCAATTTCTATGTTGATGACGGATTAAAATCAGTATCGACCGTGAACACCGCAGTTCAACTAATTCGTGATGTAAAGGAAATGTGCAAACGGGGTGGGTTCAACTTCCACAAATTTACTTCAAATAGCAAAGAAGTCCTTGAACAGATCCCAGTGGGTGATGGAGCAGAAGAAGTAAAAAATCTAAATTTTGAGCAAGAAACTCAGTTGACGGAGCGAGCGCTTGGAGTCCTTTGGTCCATCGAGATGGACGTGTTCAAGTTCACCATTGCTCTTAAAGAGCGTCCCTGCACTAGATGTGGCATTCTTTTGACAGTGAGCTCCGTATTCGATCCTCTTGGATTCATCGCACCAGTACTTCTAGAGGGAAAATCGATCTTACAAGAGCTCTGTCGTATTAAACTTGGTTGGGACGACCCAGTACCTGAAGATATGCGCATAAGATGGTGCAAGTGGAAATCCGAGCTAAAGGAGTTAGAGTTGTTCTCAATTCCACGTTGCTACAAGCCAAAGGACTTTGGTCCCATCGCGAAATCCGAGCTTCATCATTTCTCTGCTGATGCTAGTTTTAAGGGATATAGTCACAGTGCAGTTACCTTCGCCTGGTTGACGTTAATGGCAAAGTCCATTGCTCCTTCGTTCTCGGAAAGTCGAGAGTTACGCCATTGAAAGTGGTAACAGTGCCAAGGCTGGAGCTCACCGCCGCAGTTGTTTCAGTGAAAGTGAGCGAGCAATTACATCGAGAGTTGGATGTGACGATTACGAAAGAATTCTTCTGGACTGACAGTCAAGTAGTTCTGGGATACATTGGCAATTCGGTTCGACGATTCCACGCATTTTTGGCCAATCGAGTACAGCGAATACAAGAAAGCTTGTCGTTCGAGCAAAGGGCGTATGTCGACACAAAACACAACCCAGCAGACGAAGGTTCTCGGGGTTTACGACCAAGCCAACTATCAAACTCTAAATGGATTAACGGACCAAACTTCCTGTGGAAAGACCAAGCCGCCTGGTCAGATGTGACGAAAGCAAGTGGAGACAGCCTGGCACTCCCAGAAGATGACCCCAAAGTGAAAAAAGTTGTTTCCTTTGCCACAGTTGCTGAAGCGCCGTTTCCTACATTACTAGAGCGAGTCTCGTACTTCTCAGATTGGCATCGAGCGAGAAAAGCGTTTGCGTTGTATCTTCGATATGTAAACATCCTTAAAACCAAAGTTAAGGGTGAAGAATATAAGCGCCGTAAAAGAAAGAAGAACATACGTAAGAGAGCTATGATTCCCGTTTCTGTTGAAGAGTTACGCCAAGCTGGAGTAATAATTATTAAAGCCGCTCAACGCCATGTTGATATGAGTGTTTCGAACTCCGGTCCTTTAGCAAACCTGGATCCATATAAAGATTCGGAGGAAGTTATTAGAGTTGGCGGTCGTCTTCAGTTGTCAAATCTGGCCGGGGAGTGCGTACACCCTGTAGTACTACCGAAAAACAATCATGTTACAGATTTGATTGCCAGATATTTTCATCATAAAGTTCATCATCAAGGAAAGGGTATAACCCTAAGTGAAATTAGAGAAAATGGATACTGGATTCTCGGTGCGTCCTCGGTTGTCTCTCGAGCCATAAGTAAATGCGTGACCTGTCACAAACTACGTGGAAGTGTTCAAGAGCAGCGTATGGCTTTATTGCCACCCGATCGTTTAGAACCTGCGCCGCCCTTTACAAATTGTGCTGTCGACTACTTTGGGCCTTTCGTTATCAAGGAATGTTGCAAGGAACTTAAAAGGTACGGAGTTCTGTTCACATGTATGGCATCCAGAGCTGTACATATCCAGGTCGCAGTAAGCCTTGACACAGATTCCTTCATTAATGCACTCCGCAGATTTCTAAGTAGAACAGGTCCCATTCGGCAGTTACGAAGTGATCAAGGTACAAACTTTGTAGGAGCTAAGAGACAATTAAGAGAAGCATTGGAAGAACTAGATCACGATAAGATAAGACAGCAGTTGCAACACGTCAACTGTGATTGGTTTGAATTCAATATAAACGTTCCTTCGGCTAGTCATATGGGTGGCGTGTGGGAGCGACAAATTCGTACTGTTAGAAATGTGTTGTCAGCGATTCTCGAAAGGAATGCTGCCCAATTAAATCATGAAGCGCTCCTGTCTTTCATGTGTGAGGCAGAAGCCATTGTAAACAGCCGTCCCCTCACAGTGGAGTACATTAACGACCCTAAGTCTCCAACCCCATTAACGCCCAACCATCTGCTAACCATGAAAACTAAAGTATTGCTACTTCCACCTGGTGTTTTCCAATCGGCAGACATGTATTGCAAGCAGAGGTGGAGACGAGTTCAGCATCTAGCAAATGAGTTCTGGATTCGGTGAAAGGAGTATTTACTGGCCTTGCAAGAACGACAAAGATAGAAAAAATCGCGCTGAGATTCGACAGTAGGGGATATCGTGTTGATTAAAGATGATGGCGAAACTACCCGCAACCATTGGCAACTGGCTAGGATTGTGGAAATCTACGAAAGTGCTGATGGTCATGTTCGTTCCGTGAAATTAATAGTTGCTGATGGACAACACAATCGACAACAATCGACAACAAAGGAAGATCAACAATCGACAACAAAGGAAGATCTACTAAACAATCAAGATATCTGGAATGCCCTATCCAGAAGGTGGTGTTGGTACAAGAAGCGTAAGACGTATGAAGTCGATTCCCCGTCGAGGAACCTTGTATCTTTTCTTCTATATAAACATTTAGTAGTATTTAGAATAATAATTATTTTGAATATAATAATTAAGAGTGAAATGTAATAATTTCAGGGGAGCCATGTAGCAGCTTTCAGCTTGATTAAGCAAGAACAATAACAGGAACCTTTAGTAATTAGCGGTTAATATGACGCGGTAGCAAGTTCCGATTTGAAGCATGCAAACTTTGCGTAAATCACTGTTTTCGCTCAGTTGGTTCTGTGCATTTGTCAAGCACAGTTGCACTTAAAATTCGTGTCGTAAAGTACAAAATAAGGTACACGTTTATAAGTATTTCGTAGTCGCACCAATAGTGGATATCGTGGTTTGCGCATCGCCTCGACAAGCGGGACAGTTATGTAAGTTTATTTTTTACAATTGTTTTAGTTTGTGTATAGTTCTTTGTTAACGAATAGTTTTAGCAATTTGCATGACTAGAGTGGAATGATCGCCTTGTTTTAGAACGCATGATGTCCATCTCGGTAAATCTTTAGTATAAGTGCATGTAAGCCAATAGGCTTCTTATTAAGTAAGTGGATTGTTATATTCTTTAGTAATGCATGAGTTTAGTTTTTCATACATTCGTTATTTAGTTTACGACAACTATAATCGACAACTCTATTGATCCTCGAGTAAGCTTTGTTACCTGTTCAAGACATTAAATTGTTGCCTGTAAAATATATCCTGCGTTTTGTTTCTTCGAACTTTACAATGCGTCGTGACGTAAGCAAAATCTTCATCGTTTCACATAAAGCTTGCGCTGCGGCCGTTACAATGTATATATATCTATATAACTATATATCTATATAAACATATATCTATATATATATCTATATATATCTATATCTATATCTATATATCTATGTTTATATATCTATGTTTATATATATATATATATATATATATATATTTATATATATATATATTTATATATATCTATATATATATATACACCCGTTTGCAAAAACGTTAGCTGCAGATAGATATATAGATAGATACCCGAAATCTAATTAGAATTGCATATGTTGTGTAATATGATTGAAATCGAAATATATATATATATATATATACATATATACATATATATATATATATATATGTATATATATAATATATACATATATATATATATACACTCGAACTGACACAAGCTTATATTTATTGATATAGCTTCATTAATAAACCTAGGGGCCTAAAGCAAAAGCCATGTGGTTTCTAGTAGGCTCCTAGCCCTTTTCTTGTATATATCTATTCTTTGTAAATGTCATACTTTTTAGGGGAGGTTTTTTTGGCAAATTAAATAATAATAGTAAAAAAAATTACTCACCAATATTTACCTAAAATCCTATCCAATTGCTCCCAAACTTTTAAAGCAGTTTTTTCTACACTTGACAGGGCACTTGAAAAGTATGGTCTTCCGATCTCGACTGTTTCATACTATCTTTAACTTGCTTTAACCACTTCTCATTATCTTAATTTTTGTTTCGATTTGGGACATTGTTATGTCGATATTTGAGTGCTCTTTTAATATATTTCTTACTTCATTGTAAACAACCTTGTTAGTTGTCATTCCATGAATGGCTTCTTGAATTTTTTGTTCCCCATATGCATCCAATAATGCTTTTGTTTCTGCTTCTGTACACCTGCTCCCTACACTGGCCGCCATGTTGTTTTGTGTTGAGCACGGTGCCCTTGTCGAGTACTACCCCTGGAGGTAGGTACTACCACTGTGCTCAAATTCTATCCCGAGTATCGTGTTCAGACAAGTGCTCGAAGTAGTGCCGTACCCGGGCACTAGTGCCAGGTACCTAGTCTGAACGACCTATAAGACTTCTGCCACTTTGACAAAGTAGCCCAAGTTGATGTCTGAGTAGGCATCTTGTTTAAAGAGATCTATACCTGAAATTGACATAAATCGCTTGCCATTACAATGCATATGCTACCTTATGCATGTTAATTATCTATGACTGGGTGCTAGACATTACCAATGTCATACCCAGCCGCTTTAATACCCCTGCATGCTTGCCTTTTTTCAGCTGACCTCTATACAATAAGTGAATGCAACATATATTTCACTATTAAAGTAACTGGGTGTTAGGCTGAGACATTACAGCATATGCATGTGATATTGATTTCACTATATACGTCTATGCATGTCTTCATGATTTATATGGGTGGGATTGGGTGCTATCAGTGCTATGCATATGCATGTTATTCACCAATGGCTATATATAGGGTACCTGAACTCCATTGTGCAAACAATTACCTTGGGTGCTTGCAAATTACCATATCTTTGAACATTTTATATATTCCTTACTTTAGAATATAGACCAATACTATCCCAGGTATATCCCTTTTGCCATGTATATACATCCACAACTAATAAGAAATGGTAGCATGGCAACAGGGGTGGGGTGTGATCTAACCCCATAACACACACACAAACACACTAGCTACAAGCATATGACAGATATGTGCATAGGCAAAATTCTCACTAAAGGCCCAAAATCTGCAGCAAAAAACACAATAGTAAGTTCATGTAAATTTGCGCACAAAGAAAAATCAAGTGGGCAAAAAACCCACCATCAGTGAACCACATGGGAGGCTTGTGGGAGTGAATGATTAGGTAAACAAGACAAATCCTTTGGTGGATCTTAAAGGAACAGTTAGTTTCTGATACAGTCTTGCAGATTGTGATGCTGAGGCCAGCAGAGTTATCAGACTCATTTTTAGTCAAGAAGATCATCTTTATTTTTAGTCAAAAAGATTATCTTCATCAGCTTTCACAATCATATACAAAAGCAATCATTTTGACGGACAATTAATCACAAATTAAATGTAGTTAGTTAAAACCTTTAAACCCATTAAAACCTTTAAATAAGGTGAGGGTGAAGGTATCGAAAGGTAAAAAGTATGTTAATACACCAAAAAATGAAAGTGACTGCAGCATAAAACCACCTGATCTATTCACAGAAACTTTGAACTCTTGCACTGTTTCATAATATGCCAGACCTTTGACTCTTTAGGTTTCCATATATTTGCATTTCTATATTTACTTAATCTGAATCAGCTAGTGTGGCAGTTATATCTTGATTTGAATTGTTGCTTGGTATACTACATTGGTTGCTAGACATTCACCATTCCGTGGGCTTGGGGATTTATTTCCACAATTACACTGTTTTGGTTTCGTGACAGAATCATCTCTTGATGTGGACTTACTCACTACCGATTTATTGTGCCCAGAAATAATACTGCAGATGTTTGACATGCCACTGTAGCTCAGCTGCAAGGTATTCCTGTTGAATATATTGTTCAGAGGGTGGTTTATGGGAAAAGCAATAATCAATTGCTTGGAGGAAATTGTGACCTATATTTGTTCTCACATTGGAGTCTCACTGTTTTCCGTGCATCGTATCTTTGATTTTTGGGGGTTGTAGTTGTAGCCACTTTTATGTAAGGCATCTGGGTATGGAGGACAAGCGCAGTTAAATGCTTGTTCATCAAAACCGTTGTTAGATAATCAATTAATAGCTTCACCAATTGCTTTCAAAACAGCAAGTGCATGATTACTTTGACAATGGATATATTGGAGCGAGTTGCCTAGTTTCGTGTATGGTTTAAATTAAGTGGTTCTCAGATCAAACATGACATCTAGGTAATTGACCCCTTTTTTTGTTGGCTTCGATTGTTATCTTTACCTTACAATCATTAAAAACAATGTAGATTTGTTTCTTTATAATTTCTATTTCTCTCTCTTTCCTTTTTTTTTACAAATGCAGCTAGCCCATGGTTTCTGTAGAGACTAATTTAATTTCGATACTCAGGAGGAAGTTTTATACGAACAGGATGACTCGTTAGGAAATTCCTAAACCATGCAACAACCGAGCTCGTATTTTTCCATTGATTAAAATGCATTTGGGCCAAAATATTTGAATTCTTTGCAAGAGTTGTTTACTGATGACACCAATTTCTGACTTACAAGGGTTACTTAATCTACAAGTTGGGTTGTTTTGGAAGTTACGTTTGTGACCTCTTAATGTAATTTTTAGGTGCCAGTGCATCATCAATTCGGTTGGCGAGTCCAGGATTTTGAGCAAGAATCTTTTCCTCAATTGCTATACTAGAGGTTAGGTTTGCATCGATTTTCTTGTAGGACTTTGTTATAGCATTACTAAGTAATTTGTCGTACGAAGGTGCGTTAAGTTTATAAAAGTTTGTAGTTTTATCTGCTGACACTAAAACTTTATCTTCATTATGAATGCTGTACTGTGCATTTGATCATATATTAGCATGTTAATTTGCACATTATAAATCTTTAAATATTATTATTAAACAATTGAAGATATATTATTTTAGCTTAGCATATTAAATTGCATTATAACATAGGTCATATTTTGGATACTTGATATTTGTATTATTGAATGTACTGTGCATTTGATCATATATTAGCATGTTAATTTGCACATTATAAATTTTTTAAATATTATACAATACACAATACAATATTTTAATTAGTCTCCCAAACTGGGCTTTTCAGACTTAATTTACAATAAAAATTTGGTGTAAGTATGAATATTACAAGTGTATAAAAACTAGGTAAAACTGGCTACTATATGAATTAATTTATAGTT